GAAGGCCCCAAGCGGGCCTTAAGAGTAGCCCAAAGCGAATTCAAGAAGGCCCCCAAAGCGCCCCTTTCCCCTAAGGATTTTTCAGGACTCCCATGGGTTCGTAAATATTCCTAAGGATCCCAATGAATCCCAAGGACCCTAAGGAATCCGAAGGATCCTAAGGAATCCTAAGGAATCATAAGGGATCCTAAGGAATCGAAGTACTTCTGAAGAAGAAAGAAGTACTTCTGAAGAAGAAAGAAATACTTCTGAATAAGAAAGAAGTGCTTCTGAAGATCCCATGGTTGTAATTGGTCCCATTTATGGTTGCAATTCGCTCCGAACGGTTGGAATTGGGATTAGTCGGTTGTAATTCGTCCCATTTCGGGGGGAGGGGCGGGGGGAGGAGGAGGGAGGCGGGTTTAGGGAGAGAGGGAGGAGGGGGAGGGGAGAGAGGCAGGCCGGAGAAACGCGAGGAACCACAACCACAGATGGCCCCTCCTCCTCCTCTTCCTCCTCATCCTCCTCCTCCTCCTCCGCCTCCTCGCGATCCGTCTGGCCCCTATGGGCCGCCAGGCATAGCAGAAAACCGAAAGCCCGACACAAACTGATTCCATAGTTTCTTTGATATAGACTTTTCGGGACGATCGAAATGGGTACGGGAAGGATGGGTACGATGCCCAACAGCAGTTCTTGTTCATTTCGAACAGCACTCGCAGTCGTCGTCGCCGCGCACTGTGTCTATTTGAGGCAGAAAGCCGCCTGCCCAACAGCGGCTGCTGTTGGTTCGGGGCAACATTCGTTGTGGGGCATTGTACCCGTTCTTTCCGCACCCATTTCGGGCGTCCAAAATTTTCGACGATGCTTGTGGATTTCTTGGGTCGGCGCTGGGCCCCCCTGGCGGCGCCTCTGGCGGCGCCCCCGTGCGCGCTCCGCGCGCGGGGATCCAAGACATCCGCGCGGACCTCCACGAGCTGATGTTGATGGTGCTTTGTGCTCCTCCGTCATCGAGGGCTGCCCTCGGTACGTTCCAGATGCCTGCGGGGAAGATGGGGGCGACGGGCGACAGCTTTCTCTTATCATTTCTCTTTCTTTCTATCTTTTTTTTTTTTTTGTGTCGTTTTTTTTTTCTTTGGGCGACAGCTCGACACGATCAAAGTGGATACGGATAGAAAAAGCTACGAAGCCCGACAGCAGTTCTTGCTCATGTTGGGCAGTACTTGCCGCCAGTGCCGCCGCGGGCATTGTCCATTCGAGACAGAATGCCGCCTGCACAGCAGTGGCCGCTGTCAGTTGTGGACGACACTCAACATTGGTTGTTGGGCATCGTGCCCACGTTTTCCGTAGCCATCTGCACGCTCGACATGGCAAGTGGGCGATTTGTGTTCGATTCCCGGGCCATAGCGGGCGTTACCTGGCGGGTGGTGGAGGGGGCGGGGGGCCGGTAACAGTAAGCTTCGCGCCGGCGCCGTCTTGAAATGTTATGTTCAAAGACATCTCGGAGGTCAGCACGGATCGTGACTTCACCTGGAGGGGGGGGCGGCCAGGCCGGTAACGGTTGCTAACGCGATGGGTGCGAAGGGCGCCAGCCGTTTTTGTCCATTTGTCCGGGAGCAATGCCTGAGAGTTTTGCGTGCCCCCAGAGTTCCGTCTTTGCAGTGCACTAGCGTGCGTTAGCGGTTGGTATTCGATGAGAGAGCGCCGAGCTAGCGTGGCGTCGATGAGCGTTGATTAGTGGCGACTTAGCGTGGATGAGCGTAAGTTAGCGTCGATTCGCAAAACATGGAAACAAAAACAGCAATATGGCACGAGAGGTTCGCGTGAGTTGCCACACAGCATTTTGTCGGTGACGCTGCAGGCGGTCTCCGTCTGAGAGGCAGAGGGCCGCCTGCTAAAAACGGCATCCGCCGTCGGTTTTGGATAACTTTTGAAATGTAGTACGTCTTGTCTATTCGGCATCGTTTCTTCGACCCCTATCTCCATCCCCAGCCCGATCCCCACCATCCCACCACCACAGTTGCGGATGTACCCTTCAAATTCCGACGGAAGCAGCCCATATCCCCTTCCAGCGGGGTGCATTGGCCAGAGTGGTCCAGGCCACGCCAGTGGGGACAGGGCTCGGTGAAACGATAATCGTAAGTACATGATTTCTGCCCCCATCGCGGGCGTCCAAGACATCGGCTGCGGCCTCGGGCGGCCTTAGGGGTTCTACGTTGTCGAAGTTTTCGGACGCCTTCCTCGAGGTTTGATCCCTCGAGGTTTGAGATCATCGGTACACTCCTCACACGTTTCGTGGCCCATAGAGCGCTCCCCCTAAGGCCCCATATGCACCGTTCACCTGCGGGCGTCGCGCCCGTTTCGGCACACCCCTCACACGCGTCGTGGCCCCATCGTCCCCCCCCGTTGACATGAGGGCGTCACGCCGTTTTCGGCACACCTCTCACGCGTTTCGTGGCCCCGGAGGGATGTCTACCGACGGCCACAGTTTTACCGTTTCCATGTGGGCGTCACGCCATTCCTCACGCGTTTCGTGGCCCCAGGAGGAGCTCCCCCGAAGGACCCAGAGGCACCGTCCACATGTGGGCGTCCACTCTCCTCTCCTCTCCTCTCCTCTCCTCTCCTCTCCTCTCCTCTCCTCTCCTCTCCTCTCCTCTCCTCTCCTCTCCTCCACCCTTCCTCGTCCAATCCTTGCCTCTGCCCTCCGTTCGCAGCTTTCGGCACACCCCTCACACGTTTCGTAGCCCCAGGGGGAGCTCCACCTCAGGCCCCAGAGGCACTCTCCACATGTGGCCGCCACGCCCGCCGCGGCAAATCCCCCAATGGTTCGTGGCCCCATAGGGAGCCCCACCGAGGGCACCGGATGCACCGTCCACATGTGGGCATCACGCTCGTTTCGGCACCCCCCCTGACACGTTTCGCGGCCCCATCCGGTCCGGCACACCCCTCACACGTACCGTGGCCCGCTCGTAAAAGTCACGTTGCATGGCCCCGAAGGGAGCTCCACCTAAGGCCCCAGAGGCACCGTCTGTATGTGGGCGTCACGCGTTTCGACACACCCCTTTCACGCTTCGTGCTCCCTCCGGGCCCCATAAGCTTAGGGATCTTCACCGAAGGCCCCAGAAGCACCGTCCGCGTATGTGGGCGTCGAGCCCGTTTCGGCACTCCCCTCGCACGCTTCGTGTCCTCATAGGGAGCTCCACCTAAGGCCCCAGATCAAACCGTTTACATGTTGGCGTCAAGCCCTTTTTGGCAAAGCTCTCCCATGTCTCTTGGTCCCATTGGGAGCTCAGCTACACCTGAAGCTCCAAGGGGCGACGTTCGCATGTGGTCGTCATTCCCACGTCGGCACACCCCTCGTACGTTCGATGGCCCCACAGGGAGCTCCACCTGGGCGTCACGCCCGTTTCGGCACAACCCTCGCGCGTTTCGTGGCCCCATACGGAGCTCCCCCTAAGGCCCCAGTGGCGGCTTCTTGGTTCCATTGAGAGCTACACCTGGGGCCCCAAGGGGCGACTTCCGCATGTGGGCGTCCCGCCCGTTTCGGCACACTCCTCACGCGTTTCGTGGCCCAAAAGGAAGCTCCATATAAGGCCCCAATGGTGACGTTCGCATGTGGGCGCCATGCCCGTAACGACTCACACCTTGCTCGCTTCGTGGTCCCACAGCGAGCCCCCAGTGGCACAGTTCGCATGCGGCTCCCCCTTATTTCGGCACGTCCCTCACGCGTTTCGCGGAACCCATCGTCAGCTCCATGGGGTTCCCCAATGGCACGATCCGCAAGCGGCCCCAAGTGTTCTTCGCGCGGTTCGTGGCCCCACGGGGAAATCCACCGAAGACCATACTCACGGTTGCGGTCTTTACAACGGCATATGGTTAGGTGCTTCGCCAGAGCTGTTTTTTTCTCGACGCGACCATGTCTGGGGGGCTCTCCTCCTCCTGCCCCCGGACCAAGGACGACGCCGGATACTCCGGCGCTGACCTGGGCGCGTTCGTGGAGGCGTACGCGGAGGACGGCGCGGACCTGCTGGCGCACGGCTTCCAGCCCGGACGTCTGGCGGCCCTACTTTTCGAGGCACGGGCTCCAGGACTCCTGGCTCCGTCGCGTCGAGTGCAAATCATGGCGTCTTATTTCCCATATCTACAAGACAGGGTTCTTGTCATTGCTCTGACCGCGCCGACTCCTCCTCACACCTCACCTTCATCCTCCTCTTCCTCACCCAGAGTCTCACTCAGGGCCACGATTCAGGTTATGAAATGATGGCCTCTATGATGATGATCATGCTGCTGATGATGATGACGATGATTATCCTATACATACTAATGTCGAGATCAGATGTTTCGTACTCACCCTACAAAGAACAACCGGTATACTAATACTACTAACAATAACATTGATGATGCTGCTAATGATGCTGATGATGATCATGCTGATAATGATGATGATGGTGATGATGATGATGATGATGATGATGATGTTGTTGAAGATGGTGATGAGGAGGTTTGTGGATGTTGTCATTATTGTTCGACCACGACGACGGTGACATATAATGATGAGGATGCTGATGATGATGGTGATGGTGATGGTGGTCGTGATGGTGATGGTGATGGTGGTGACGGTGGTGACGGTGGTGATGATGCTGATGCTGCTGTTGTTGATGATGACGATGACGATGATGATGATGATGATGATGATGATGATGATGATGATGATGATGATGATGATGATGGTAATGATGATGGTGATGGTGATGGTGATGGTGATTGTGACGGTGATGGTGATGGTGGTGACGGTGGTGACGGTGGTGATGATTCTGATGCTGCTGGTGATGAATGATGAATGATGGGTGACGACGAAGATGATGATGATGATGCTGACGATGATGCTGCAGATGGGGATGTTGATGATGATGATAATGACGATGATGATGATTTTGATGCTGCTGCTGCTGATGATGATGATGATGATGGTAATGGTAATGGTGATGGTGATGGTGATGGTGGTGACGGTGGTGACAGTGGTGATGATGCTGATGATGATGATGCTGCTGATGATGCTGATGATGATGATGATGATGACGATGATGATGCTGATGATGACGATGATGATGATGATGACTGATGATGACGATGATGATGATGATGATGATGATGATGATGATGATGATGATGATGATGATGATGATGATGGTGATAGCGGTGATGGAGCAGATTCTTAGAATGTCTCGGTCGAGGCGCTGGTTTCACTACTCACAATTACACTTCTCCGTTCGCGCCCAGATTGCGGGGATGTCTCGAACGGTTTGTCTGCTGCTGCACCAGCCGACATCCTCCGCTTTCGGAGCAGCGTTTGAGGATGTCTCGAGCGAGGCGCTGGTTTTCGCATCCTTGTGGGCCCAGATTGCGAGGATGTCTCGAGCGGTTTGCTTGCTTTGCTGGCCAGACTCGTGCGCACAGATCTTCCCCAGGAGGCCACAGGAGGCTCCAGCAGGCTCGAGGAGGTCCCAGGAGGCCCCAGGAGATCCCAGGAGGCCTCCCGAGGCCTCTGGAGCCGTCGTGGGCCCCCGAGTGCACAAGAATGTGATGATGCTAAGAGGCGGAATGCGAAACCTGAGGGAGCACGTGCTCTTGCGGGTCCTGTGGGGCCATCTTGGTCTCCTTGGGGCCATCTTCGGCTGTCTTGGATCTGTTTTGAGCTGTCTTGAAGCCATTTTTCGGCCTGCTTGAAACTTTGGGAAGCCCAAGAGGCCAACATCTGTGAATCGGTTTGGTGGATTTGCAGGTGTGATTGCTCAAGACGCTTACGCTTCCGCCGACCCCCCAGACATGGAAATGTGCGGCTACCGATGTCTTGTGTGGTGTTGTTGACGTTGCTGCTGCTGCTGCTGTTGTTGGTGTGGAACTCTCACTTCTGAAGAATAATTCTTGTTGATCCCCCCGTCCGGGGCACATTTTTTTTTTCGATTGAAGTGCCCTTCCCGGGGGCTCGCACCTTGTTTTTATCAGGGAAGGTCTTGAGGGTCAATTTATGTTGTTGGCCCCCGGTTTCCAACAACAACGGCTCCCGTTTGATCCTTCCTCACAGTGTATTGAATAATCGCGCTCTCGCTTGGGACTTCCTTGCAATTTACCACCGAGTCGCGGCTCTCGCCTGATACTTCCTTGCAATTTATTGAAGACTCGCGCTCTAGCATGGGACTTCCTCGCAACTTACCACCGAATCGCGGCTCCCGCATTATACTTCCTCAGAATGTATTCAGATGCCGCTCCTCGACACTCAGGAATCGTGCTCCCGCTACATATGGCTTGGCGGTTCAAGCAGAATTTACGCTTCAACGACCCGCCCGCTCGACCCGCCCGTTTGGGCCTGCCCGCCCGACCAGCCCGTTAGGGACTGCAGTCGCCGCTCGATGCCCTTCGCCCGCCTTCGATGCCTCTCGCTGCCCGTACTGGTTCCGCGGTCGCCTTCGCTCGCTGCCCTTCGTGGCCCCGTTGCTGCCTTCAATGGCCCCAGCGCTGCCCACTGTGACCCCGCATTATATGCCCTTCGTGGCCCCCGCTCGCAGTCGCCCGTCGTGCCCCCATACGCATGCCCTTCGTAGCCCCGCTGTCGCCCCTCGTGGCCCTCTCGCTGCCCTTCGTGGCCCCTTTGCTGCCCTCAGTGGCCCCGCTGTCGCCCTTTCTGGCCCCATATACGAATGCCCTTCGTGGCCCCCGCTCGTTCGCCTCCGTCGTCGTGGCCTCATATGCATGCCCTTTGTGGCCCCGCTGTCGCCCTTCGTGGCCCCCTCTCTGCCCTTCGTGGCCCCGTTTCTGCCCTCAGCGGCCCCGTCGCTGCCCTCTGTGGCCCCAGATCAATTGCCCTCCGTGGCCCCCGCTCGCTCGCGCCCTTCGTGGTCCCATACGCATGCGTTTCGTCGCCCCGCTGTCGCCCTTCGTGGCCCTCTCGCTGCCCTTTGTGGCCCACTTTCTGCGCTCAGTGGCCCCGCTGTCGCCCTTTCTGGCCCCATCTATGTATGCCCTTCGTGGCCCCCGTTCGTTCGCCTCCGTCGTCGTGGCCTCATATGCATGCCCTTCGTGGCCCCGCTGTCGCCCTTCGTGGCCCCCTCTCTGCCCTTCGTGGCCCCGTTTCTGCCCTCAGCGGCTCCGTCGCTGCCCTCTGCGGCCCCCTATACGTATGCCCTTCGGGGCCCCCGCTCGTTCGCGCCCGTCGTGGCCCGCGCCAACAATGGTTCCCGCCTGATACTTCCTTACAATTTGTTGAAGAATCCCGCTCTCGCTTGGGACCTCTTTGCAATTTACCACCGGATCGCGGCTCCCGCATGATATTGCCTGACAATTTATAGGAGAATCGCGCTCTCGCTTTGGACTTCCTCGCAACCATACGCATGCCCTTCGTAGCCCCTCTCTCGCCCTTCGTGGCCCTCTCGCTGCCCTTCGTGGTCCCTTTGCTGCCCTCAGTGGCCCCGCTGTCGCACTTTGTTGCCCCATATACGAATGGTTCAACGAAGTTTGTTTCTGACACCAGTTCGCAGCTGTACGTCCCCCCGTGGGGGTATCCACGATCTGTTCTGTCAAAGGGGGTGGTACGTGACGCTGTTTATGGCGCGACCCATGGCGAAACTTATTGTCAACCTGTGTTGGAGCGGCTGGCGCAAGCCATGGCGCAAGCTGAATCGCCACTCGCAGCGCAAATCATCGTCCTCCCTCATTCTTGCCCCTCCCCTCCCTTCCTCCGATCCCTTCGTCTTCATTCTCACCCGTTATCAGTTGCCGTTCATTTTCAAGGGCTTTACCAACCACGCGTGGCAGGGAATGAGTATAACCCCCAAAAGGGGGCACGATCGAAGACTCAGAAGGCGGGTGCCCATCGTTTGGGATATGCATATTGAATGACACACGATCATATAATAACGAACAGTCTTAAACTGATTTTTGTTGTTGTTTTGGTGGTTGTGGTTGTTGTGGTTGTTGTTGTCGTTGTTGTTGAACATTATTACTTCTAAAGAATAATTATTGTTGGGGCCCCTGGTGCATGGCCCCCCCGCCGCGCCTAGGCCGCAGCCTCATTTTCATCATTTTCGTGAGGAAGTCTCAGGAAAAACGATGTCATCCAGATCCGGTTGTGTTGTTACGATCGGTTTTCCCTTGCAAAAAATAAGCTAAAGTTGACATTTCTTGTTCTAACATAACCAAACTTCAAGAATCCCTTGCAAAAAATAAGGTAAAGTGGACATTCGCGCGCGCAAGGAGAAAATCCTTTCCAATACTTAGTTTTCGAAGCGATTTTAACATAAAAAACATAAAAAAAAAACCAATGTTTTTTTTTTAAAAAAAAGAAATGTCAAAATTTCATCCCGCGCGCTCTTGCGGATTCGTAGGAAATCCAACACTTTTTAAACATTTCTGTCAAACGGGCTTTTGCGAGCAACTTTTTCGAACTTCTGCAACAACGGTTGCGCACCTGCCAGGGCCATCATCCCTGTCAAATAATACCATGCGGGACACATTCGTTTTTTTTTCGCGCGCGCACGCCGTCGTCGTCGGCCGCGGGGCCCTGAATAGTAGCCACGGTCGTCCGCATGCCACGAAGTGAAGTGTCCGAACGTCATGGGGCGGGAAGCTGGGTGTGGGTGGTGGCGAAGAGTCGTTTGGAAATTTGGTAGAGCTTGAACCGGCCCCCCCACAAAGTGGGGTATTGCCCGCCTCCTATGAAAACCCTGGCACTGGTGAGAACGGTGTGTCCCCACGTGCTAGTAATTGTTGTTGTTGTTGTTGTTGAACATTATTACTTCTAAAGAATAATTATTGTTGGGGCCCCTGGTGCGCGACCCCCCTCCAAAACCTAGGCCGCAGCTACATTTTCATCATTTTTTAGCGAAAGCTTCAGAAAAGTGAATTATTACCGGATCCGGTTGTTTTGTTGTACTCCGTTTTCCCTTTTTTTTTTTTTTTTTTTTTTTTTTTTTTGCTTTTTTTTTTTTTTTTTTTTTTTTGTTTTTTTTTTTTTTTTTTTTTTTTTGATTTTTTTTTTTTTTTTTTTTTTTTTTTTTTTTTTTTTTTTTCTTTTTGCAAAAAAAAAACACTATAAAATGAAAATTCTTGTTTTCTTACTTGATTAAAATTGCAAGAATCCCTTGCAAAAAATAAGGTAAAGTGGACATTCGTTGCGCGCAAGACGAAATCCTTCCAACAACCTTAGGTTTCGTTAACGATTTTAACATTTAAATAAACATCAAAAACCCAATGGTTTTTAATTTAAAAAAAAAAAATAAAAAAATTTGTCAAAATGTCCTTCCGCGCGCGCTGTCCGAATCCCACCAAACCAATGGTTTTTCAACATTTATGTTACATGAGCTCGCGCGAGCTACTTTTTCTTGTTCTAACATAATCTAATTTCAATAATACCTTGCAAAAAATAAGGTAAAGTGGACATTCGCGCGCGCAAGACGAAATCCTTCCAGAACCTCAGGTTTCGTAACGATTTCAACATAAAAACATCAAAAACCCAATGGTTTTTCAAAACAAATGTCCAAATTTCATCCCGCGCGCGCTGTCCGACTCCCACAAAACCAATGGTTTTCCAACATTTATGTTACATGAGCTCGCGCGAGCTACTTTGTCTTGTTCTAACATAATCAAATTTCAATACTCCCTTGCAAAAAAAAATAAAGTGGACATTCGCGCGCGCACGACCAACAAAAAACACGACGATCTCAGGAACTTGCCCCAAAAATGTGACCAACTCCGCTCTCTCTGTCTCTCTCTCTGTCTGCTCTCTGTCTCTCTCTCTGTCTGTCTGTGTCATGTATTGTATGTCACAATTGCAGGATGCTGGGCACACGCGCGCCCCGAATAAGTGACCAAGTTCTGTGGGTGTGTACCCCACGCCAGTGTAGTAGCCACGGTCGTCCGCACGCCACGAAGTGAAGTGTCCCAACGTCATAGGGCGGGAAGCTGGGTTTGGGTGGTCGCGAAGAGTCGTTTGGATATTTGGTAGAGCTTGAACTGCCCCCCCACGAAGTGGGGGTATTGTCTCGCGTCGCATGAAAACCCTGGCACTGGTGAGAACACTGAGCGTTCGGGTAAAATGATTGTTGTTGTTGTTGTTGTTGTTGTTGTTGTGTTTGCTGTTGTATTATGCCTGACCGCCGACGGAAACACTGTTGTTTGCCATTTCTCATCGTGTTGCTTGCATGAAGTTGTTGCTGTCTCGTCCTTTCTTCCTCCGCGTCTGTTGCTGGGCTTCTCGGGGGCATTTTCGAGGCGTGGGGGACGACTTCTTTGGTTTTGTTGGCGTTTCCCATTTGAGTGTGTCTGTATATATATATATATATATATATATATATACATAACGGCGCACCGGGTCCGGGGGCCCGGGGCCGGGACCTCGACCACAAATGTGGGCTCCGGGGGGCCCGGAGGCTCGTCGGACCGCCGGACGCCGTCCAAGATCGTTCGCAGGCGGCTTCGGAACGCGCTCCGATGGCTCCAGATGCCTTCCAAGACGCCTGTCATGACACCAAGAAGGTCCCAGAAGCCTCCAAGACGCTCCGAGAGGCAGCCCAAGAGAGGCCCAAGAAGCAAACATCGTGCCATTCCTATGGGAAAACGTATATTTTTCGCATGTTCGCCTCTTGGGCTTTCACCGCGTCCAAGACGGCCCAAGAGGCGCCCAAGACGGTCTACGAGGCCTCCGGAGCGCTCCAAGGCTGCGCACGAGTGGCCCAGGACGGCCCCAAGACGGCCGAAGAGAGCCCCAAGACGAGTTCGAGAGGGGTCCCAGACGGAGAAAGCCAACCTCGAATTCCGAGCTTCCGGCCCAAGAGGCTCCAGGAGGCGCCAAAATGCCGCCAAGAGGCGCCAAAAGGCTCCCAAAAGCACCCCAAGACGTTCCGAGAGGCACCCCAAGAGAGGTCCAAGAAACAAAAATCGTGCCATTCCTATGGGAAAACGTATATTTTTCGCATGTTCGCATCTTGGGCTTTCACCGCGTCCAAGACGGCCCAAGAGGCCTCCAAGACGGCCTAGGAGGCCTCCGGGAGCGCTCCAAGGCTGCGCACGAGTGGCTCAGGACGGCCTCAAGACGGCCCAAGAGAACTCGAAGACGATTTCGACAGGGGTCTCAGAAGGAGAAAGCCACTCTCGAATTCCGAGCTTCCGGCCCAACATATCCCAGGAGGCGCCAAAACGCCGCCCAGAGGCGCCAAAAGGCTTCCAAAATCAGCCCAAGACGTTCCGAGAGGCACCCCAAGAGAGGTCCAAGAAACAAAAATCGTGCCATTCCTATGGGAAAATGTATATTTTTCGCATGTTCGCATCTTGGGCTTTCACCGCGTCCAAGACGGCCCAAGAGGCCTCCAAGACCGCCCCAAGACGGCCCAATAAGCTTCCAAGAGGGCCCCAGGACAGCCCAAGAGGGCCCCAAGACGGCCCAAGAGGCGCCCAAGATGGCCCAAGAGGGCCCCAAGACGGGCCCAAGAGGGGGCCCAGAGGGGGACCACGAACCGCAAGCTCGAGCCTTCCGCCCCAAGAGGCCGCCAGGAGGCCCCAAGGAGGCCCCTCAAGAGGCCCCAGGAGACCCCCAAGAGGCCCAAAGGAGGCCCCGAGAAGCCCCAAATCGGCCCCCAAAATGCTTCGAACCTGCTTCCAGGAGGCCCCCGACAGGTTCAGAGGCTCCCGAGAAGCTACGTCAAACTCCCAGCGAGCGGCCGGACGAGGCCCCCCCACAAAATCACAAGAGGGTTCCAGTATTTGTATCCTTCAGCGCTCTCTGGCCTTCTTCCCCCTGCCCCCTTCCCTGCGACTTTCGTTGACTCAAGCTCGCCTCCTAGCTAGAACCTAAGCGCGCGCGAAGCGCGCGCGTGGTTCTAGTATATATATGTACATTATAATATAATATATATATATATATATATATATATATATATTATATATATATTATATATGTATATGTATTTGTATATGTGTATAATGAGGGAGCTGATGGGGGCGTCTTTGCCTTTTGGTGGCGTGTTGTTGGGGGTCTGGTGGGCCATCTTGGGGGTCATCTCCCGGGATCCAAGCGGGCTCCCATTTTTTGGCCAGTCTGCGGCTTTCCGGGATACCCAAGTGAGGTTTTTGCGATGCCGTCTCGGGGGCTCCCTTGGCCGTGTTTGGGTCGCGTCTTGGGGCCTCTGGGGCGTCCTGGGCCGGTTTGGGGGGCCTCTGGGTTGCCTTGGGCTCGCAGGCGCTCAAAAAGATAAGGATGCAAACGTCGTTCGGGACATGGACCTTGGGGCCCTCTTGTCGGTCCTCTTGGGGCCTTTTTCTGCATTTTGGGGGTGTGTCGTGCCTTGTTGCGGCCATGTTGTGTGTGCTTGCGGCCTGTCGGGCGTGTTGGGGCCCCTCTTGAACCATCTTCGAAGGAACCTTGGGCATCTTGGCGGCCACGGAGGGTGAACTTCGAGGTTCAAGGGCCCCAGAGGTGCGCCGAGCTCCTGAGGGCCCCCTTCCTTCTTACTGGATGTTGGACCCAGGGGGATGGACAAACGGAAACGGGAATTGCCCATCATTTGACGTGCCTTGTCACCCCTGGCAAGTGGGGTCGGCGGAGTAGGGGTCGCAGAGGGACTCATTCAGCAGTCCGCGGGCTGGGGAGGAGGGGACCTGTATGTTTGTATACATACATACACACATATATATATATATAGATATACCGGTGTAAAACTCTATGTTTGTACATGTCTGCCTGTATGCATACATAAATGCATGCATGTATGTCCGTATACAGGCTTGTATGGTCATACCATTTGGTGCCTGTATCCCCTACGCCGTGTACCCTCCGTGCCAGAGCTGTTCTGGCTCGTGAGTTTTGGCACCGAGCCAGGCTCCCCTCTCCTGCGTGGCGGTGGTGCGCCCGCCGCGGCGCGAGGGTCGCAGGGCGCCGTGGCATCCGCGCGACGCCGTCGCGCGGCCTGGCGACGGCCTGGGCCACGGCACGCTGCGTGCGCTCTCTCGGGAAGAGGAGCACGAACGCACTCCAGGACGGGAGATGGATGCAGCTCGCGGAGGCGGCGGCGTCGTCGCCTCGGTCGGGAAGCTGCTCGGCGACGGCTTGGGACCCGAGGTCGTCGAGGACGACGACGAGGCTGTGGCCGCCTTGGACGAACTGGAGCCGTCGTCCGCAGACCCGATTGCCATCGAGCCGAGCTCGTTCTACTTGAGTGCGGGGTTCAACGGCGATGAGGAACACCAGTGCGATTTCGTGTGGCTGGCGCTGCGGGTCACAGGCGCCTCCAGGCGTGGAGGGTGGGATTTCTCCCGGCGCCCTGCTGCACATCTGCACGGGCGAGCCGTGCGGCGTCGAGGCAATTTTCGGGCTGCGACGAGCTCGTTCACGTCGTGGACGCCCGCAGGCTGGAGGCGGAAGACATCGCCAAAGTCTTCTTAAACTGGTTGCCCCGCAACCCCGAGGCGGTCTGGCCGCAGACTTGCTGGTGCCGCGTGCGGCGCGGCTGGCCGCCCCGCGCCTGTCGGCGCGCCCGACGAAGGAGAGTGCTGCGCCGCCGACACCTGGGGCGGCAGGGCCACGTGCAGCCGAGCGCACGGTCGTGGGCCACAGCGCCCCCCTCGATTGGCTGCTCGGCGAGTGTGCCCTGTCCGTGCGGGCTGCAGGCCTCCCGCTCAACCTGGGGCCCGCGCGGGACGAGATGCGGGCCGGGATCGCTGCGGCGCGGGGCCGGTTCGCTGCGGCAGCGCCTGGGGCCGCTGCGGCTGGCGCACCTCCAGGCAGTGCAGAGGGCGCGCCGAGCGAGGGCAAGCCGAAGAAGCGTGGCCTCGCCGAGGTGCTCGCGGAGCGGATGGCGAAGGTCGCCAAGGCCCCCAGCGCCGAGGCGGCGCGCGGCTCAGACGACCCAGCTGCTGCGGCTGTGACCAGCGAGGGAGCTGCGGGCGAAGGCGTGAAGGAGCTGGAGACGGCGCCCATTGCGGTGCTCAGGAGCTCGGCCGCGCAGGCTGCTGGCAGCTCGGGCGCTTGCGCCGCCTCGGACCCCCTCGGCGCAGCCGACGGGGCCGCGGCCACGGGGGGACTTGCGACCGAGCGGGCTCATTGCAGGAAGATGGCGCAGGACCAGCCAGGCAGGTTGTCAGAGCTCACGCTGATGCAGATGGCAGAGTTCCTTGGCGCCGTTGAGGGCGACGCGGCGGTGGACCCGGCGTCTGCGCTTGTGCTGAGGTGCATGCTCACGATCAATTTGCCGCAGAACCCAGCGCAGCAGATCGGGGTGGCTGCGCATCGCGAGATGCGGGCGCTGGCCGAGTCGATCGGCTTTCTCCTCCAGGGCAGGATTCTTCAGGCGCTGGACATCCAGGCCCAGCGGCTGCAGGCGGCGCAGGTGGCAGTCGGCGATGGGCACTGGGGCGCGGCGAAGTGGCTCGAGCTGATCCCCGCCACTGACGAGCCCCGTGAGGAGGGGGGGGTGATCCGCAGTATCGAGCTCGGCGAATTGAAGCTGGAGGAGCTCAGCAGCCGACTTTGCGAGCCCCAGGGTTGAAGTGGAGGCCGGGAGGAGGCGCGCCCTCTGCTGGCGCCTCCCCCTGCAGGCCAGGCGGGGGGGGGTGCCCCCTGCGACAGCGCGGCTGCCTGGCAATCGCGCGCCCGCCCGAGGGCGCCGAAGGGCAGCGCGAAGGAAGGCGAGATGCCGCCTCGCCAGCGAGTAGTGCAGCTCGACAATGCGGTAGAGATGCTGCCCGCTGGAGGCTTGCAGGGGCCGCGGAACTTCAGGGCGGCGAGTGTTGTCTGCCCGGGAAAAGACGGCGAGACGTCGAAGGAGTGCAAGGCGCGGCTGCGGGACTTCATGGCGGAGTCGCGCGGCCAGAGGCGGTAGCAGACGATGAGGCTGCTGGAGGTGCAGTGCAGTTTCTGGGGGGGGGGGGGGGGGGGCGCGGCGCGGCCCCCGACCTGCGGCATCAGGTCGCTGCTGGTGTCTGAGGGCGCCCCCCGGACGGGGGCGGAGGGGGCAAGGGGCCGCTTCGCGTCTGGAGCGCCTCCCAGCGGGGGCCAGCAGCGGGAGCTGGCGAGCACCTCTCTCCCACGCGGCATGTGGGGCCTCCCCGCCGCGGGCAGCGCCGCGCGTGGCGCCGGGGCGTGGCGCGACGAGGTTACGGTTCAGTTCGGCGCGACCATCGCGAGCATCGACGTGACAGTGGACCTCTTGCAGCTCGGCGAGCGCCACCCTGGCGGCCCGGGGACTTTCTCGAGAGAATTTGCAGAGCGCGTGTCCACACTTTGCAGGCGCGTTCGCGACCTGTTGCCGTTGCCCCTGCCGCGTCTCTCGGCTGTCAGGCGCTGGTGCGCGACCAGAGATGCTGGCCGCAGGTGCAGGGCCAGGCCTTTCGCTCGTCAGGTCGCTGACGAGGCCTGGTTGCTTCTCGCCGTCGCAGCGCTGAATTACACGTACTGCGGTCGCTGCAGAAAGGGTTGGAGGCGTCGCCCGGTCTTGTCCTGGGCGCAGCAGCAGGCATCGGGGTTCCTGGAGTCCCGCGTCGTCGACTTCGCGGGGGGCCCGTTCGAGCAGGTAAGCGCGCCCGCCGCCGACGCGGCCCTCGGCGAGGCGACCGTGGGCTACTCGGGCGAGGCCGTGGCCGCGGGTTTGCCCCGCGTGCTCGCGGACCTGGCGTCAGGCTCGCCACGGCCTGAGCATGCCGCGGTGCCGGGCGCCCTGGGCATCGCGGGGCGCGACGTCCCCGAGTGGCTGGCCTCGCCCGAGACGGCCCTTCTCCTCGAGGCCGACTGGCCCGACCCCTGGTTTTGAGCCAGGGCCAACGCCGCGGGCAGAGCGGGTTGGCATGAGCTCGCGGTCCGCCTCGCGGGGCTCAGGATCGTCGCGGTGCCTAGCGAGGACATGTTTGTTTGTCGGGGTCAGGGGCGAGCCGCTCTTGAATGGGCCCTTCGCGGTAGCAAAGGAGGGCGAGCCAGGGCCGGGCGGCGAGCGGGTCATCGGGGTGATCTTGAACGTGGTCCTTGGCAACGCCCTGCTCGAGCCGCCTGTCGGTGAGACTTCTCTCCTCGCGGCGTCCACAAGCTGGGCGCCCCTGCGCGCCCCCGAGGGCGAGTGGCTGCTGTGGGCGGGCCACGACGGGAAGGGTGCCTTCTTCGTCTGGAGGGCCCCAAAGGCTTGGCGCCCCTACATGGCGGTCGGCAGGTCGCTTGCCAGCGCGCTCTTCGGACGCCCCGAGCGGCAGGTGTACGTCGCGCCGGAGGTGATCACGGGGTGGGTGGCGGGTCTACATCGACGACTCCGACGCGCCCGAGACCGTGGACGAGGTGCAGGCGCGACAGCTCGGGGGCACCGAGGCGGACTGTCAGCAGTGCGTTTGCGAGAGCTACATGTGCGCAGGTGCGGCCTGCTCGGCGGAGAAGGATCGCCTGCGGGAGACGCGGGTTGAGCGCATGGGGGCTGGCGTGGATGGCGTCAGCGGTCGGCTGGCAGCGCCGGGCCCCGAGGTGTTGAGTGCCGCTGCCCTTGGCCTCGCGACGTGGTCGCAGGAGCGGGTGCCCTGGCGCGTGTGCATGGTGGGCCTCGGCAAGCTGGTGCGGGCCTGGATCCAGACGCCCGCTTTCCAGCATCCTCGACTCTGTATGGTCCATGTCGACGACGCGATCTTCGGTCCAGTACAATGCCGAGATGGTCGAGAAACTCTTCTCGGGCCTCATGCTGCTGCCTGCAGCGGCCACCTCCTCTCGGGCCCGCGTTGAGGGGATGGTCGCGGTCTCGGGCGCCTCGGAGTTCGGGGGCGGCGTCTGCGCGTCCACAGCCCTCGGGGGGAAGCGGCGTTGGCGTTCAAATCCGTGAGACAGGCCGTTGATCACCTCGGCGTGGGCACTCGGCTGCTCAACGTGCCTGTAGACCGGCGGTGCCCTTGGACCGTGTCTAGCCCGAGGCTCCCGAAGGCAGTCGTTTTCAAGGTGCTTGCTGTCCTAGTCGCGGGGGAGCTCTTCGACGGCGTCGGCGGCCTCGCGGTGTCGCTCTCGAAGTTGCCCGTCAGGATCGTCGCCTGTGTCACCGCCGAGACCGACGCGGAGGCCAGGCGCGTTGTCCAGCTGCGCTGGCCAGGCGCGATCGGCGGGGGCGGCGTGGCGCGGGGGGGCGAGGGCCTGGTGCAGGACCTCTTTGACAAGTTCTCGGACACCGTGGGCGTGGGCGTCGCTGGCACGGGCGGCCCGTGCCAGGGCCCATCGCGGTATTGAAGCGAGCGGTGGAGGACTGCGTGGCCGCAGGGGCTCTCTGTGCTACGAGGCGCCATGGATTTTATGGCTCTTGCGGCAGACGTTCGGGCGGCGGTTCTACTCGCTGCTCGAGAACGTGGCGAGGATGACAGACGCGGGCGTCAGGCCATGTCCAGCTGCGCGGGAGTTAAGCCATGCCTCCCCTGCTCGTCGGTCATGGTGCCGTGTCGCCCCAGGTGGCGCCGCCGCTGCGCCTTGTCGACAAGGGCCGCTACTTCGAGGTCATGGCAGACAACGGGCCGCTGCTGGACATCGAGAGTGGGGGGGCCAGAAGTTTCGCTGGGCCAAGCGCCCGCTCCCCTCCCCGACGGTGGTGTGCTGCGGGGGTGCCCCTGAGCTTCCCGCGGGCGCCGCGGGGCCTGGGCTCGGCATCGCTGGCAGAGCGATGTTCCGCCATCGCGTTGCGCTGGGCGAGGGGGGGGGGATATCGCCCATGATTGTTCTGGGGGGCCGCCGGGGGGGCTGCGAAGCTGCGCGGAGAGAGAGGGAACCGCTGCTCGGGCTCGATGGAGGCCGCGCCGCTGTAGCCACGAAGGGCTCGAGTCCGCAGGCCGCCACAGGCGCCGGGGCCTTCCTGCTCGGGTGCAGCTTCAGCGTCCATGGGTCGCGGGGGCTTTGCAGCGCGTCCTCCTGGCGGAGTCCGCTCTTGCGCGCCCCCCCTCTGTCCGTGCCCGAGATCGCGCGCGTCGGCCAGTGCCGCGAGACCTGGGGCGAGCGCGGCGGCTTCGAGGACAGCTCGGGCGACCCGAACATAGAGGAGAGGGGCCAGGCGCCTGGCCCCCCACTACCTGGGCCACGCGGAGCAGGGGGGCTCGGGCGCGTGGCTGGATTGCGGCCTGCTATGCCGTCCAAGAGGCTGTCCTCGCTCGGGCCTGGGCCCCTTCGCGTGGCGGTGGTGCGTCGTGCTGAGCACGGCGTGGTCGCGCGAGGCGCGCGCGCATCAACGTGGGAGAGTTGCAGACTGCTGGCAGCTATGCGGTGGCAAGCGCAAAAGTCAGCTTGGCACTGCGCGCGGTGGCCCCACCTCGTCGACAGTCAGGTTTAGCGACCTTCGTGCCCAAGGGTCGCAGCAGCAGCAGCTGCCGCTTGCAGCAGCGCTGGAGGTTGGGTGGTCATGGCGTTCGCCGCAGACATGTACCCGCTGATCAGCAGGCATCGCGCTGACAAAGCGACACTGCCGCGGGCGTGTGCTTCCCGTTGCCCGAGCTCTGATGGCGAGCCTGGCAGTGGATGCCGGGGCGTTCGACTTGAGCTGCCTGCTGCTCATCAGCTTTGAGGGCCTGCTGCGGGGAAACGAGGCCATTGCGTTGGCGGTAGACGACGTCTTCGACCGAGGTACTCAGTCCTGCTGCGCGTCAAGACCTCCGAGACCACAGCAGGCATGGACGCTGCGTAGGCCGTCGTCATCAGGTCAGCAGTGGCCAAGGCAAGGCTTAGGCTGGCCGTGCAGCAGGGCCCTCAAGCGAAGCCCAGTCGTGGAGGTCGCCCGCCCAGTTCAGAAGCGCGCTCGGAGCCCTCGCGCACGGCCAGGGCACTCCAGGGCGTTACTCGCGGCAGCTTGCCTGGCGAAGAGGCGCCTCAGACTTCTTCCTGCGGTCGTCCTCCATGGGGGCCGCGCTCGTGAGGGGCAGCTGGGCCAGCAGCGTGACGGCCCGCGTCTACATCGAGGGTGCGGCGGCCGACCTCGTGCGCGCGCGGCCCGCGGGCCAGGCCGCCGCCGCTTGCTAGCGTGGATTTGTTTGTTGCATCCGTTCTCAGAGCTGTAAACATTAATTTTATTGTATATGTTCACGAGCTTCGCGCTGGCAGTGACAAACCACGAGGGGGGTGGTGATGGTATAGCGTGTTTTCCCCGTTCTTTGCGGTGCGGCGGACTGGGGTTCAGTGTGACTTGGGTCCTGAAACGCCCCTTCCCGTCGTGAAGCTGGTCCGTGAAGCCAGAGGGACGCCAGTGTGGACTGCCGCGCTTGGCTGCTCTGGCTGCGGGGGGGCCTTGCTCTTGGCTTGGCGCAGCTGCGGGGGGAGGGGGCGTCGGGCGGTTCGCGGCGAAACGCAGTCTGAGGGGGAAGCTGAGATATTAGAGCATTGGCGTGGACACGTGCCGTAAAACGGTATGTCCGTATACAGGCTTGTATGGTCATGTCATTGAGTGCGTGTGTCCCGTGCGCCGTCGACCCTCCGTGCCGGAGCTGTTCTGGGTCCCGACCCACACCACCCACCTTACTGATCTCTTGTAGAGGCTAGCCGGCTCAATGCTTGCCTGCGGTGCCGTAGCCCATCAGGTATAGCGTGTTTTCCGTGTTATTTGCGGTGCCGCGGACTGGGGTTCAGTGTGACCTGGGTCCTGAAACGCCCCTCCCCGTCGTGAAACTGGCCCGTGAAGCCGGAGTGAAACCAGTGTGGACTGCCACGCTTGGCTGCTGTGGCTGCGGGGGGGCCTTGCTCTTGGCTTGGCGCAGCTGCGGGGGGAGGGGGCGTCGGGCGGTTCGCGTCGAATCGCAGTCTGAGGGGGAAACTGAGCTATTAGACCATTGGCGTGGACACGTGCCGTAATCCGGTATACATATATATATATATATATATATATATATATATATATACGTATATGCATGTCTGTATCTATGCATGCATTTTTGTATGTATTGATGCATTTATGCATGCATGCGTGCGTTTGTGCATGCATGCGTGCGTGCAGATATATATAGGTATATGTATATGAGTGTTTGTTCTTTTGTTTGCAGGTATGCATGCATACATGTATGTATGTATGCGTGTATGTATGCATACATGCATGCATGTATGCATGCATGTGTGTCTGTATGCATACACGCATGCATGCATGCATGCATGTGTGTATGTATGCATTCACGGATGTATGCATGATTGTATGTATGTATGTCAGTATGTGTGAATGTATGTTTGTAATATGCACGTATGTGTGTATGTACGTATGTATGTGCGTATGTATAGGTGGACGTACGCATGTATCTATGTGTATGTATGTTTACTGTGCGCATTGGCACATACACACACACACATATATTAGATATATATATATATATATATATATATATATATATATTTATATATGAGAGGGAGAGAGAGATAATGATAGTATATAGACATGGAAGACTGACCTGACACAACTCATGGTTTCGGATTGAGGAGAGCCCAAGACGGCCCCAGATGCCCCCAAGAGACGATGGGCACTCGACGGTATAACGGGCTCCCCTGATGGCCCAATGGGGGGCCGAAGACGACTCCCAAGAGGCCCCCAGGAGGCACAAATGACGGGTGTTCCCTTGATGTCGGTTCAATGTTCGCATGCTCGGCTTCAAGATGGCCCAAAAGGGCCCCAAGACGAGCTAATGACGGCCCAAGAGGGGCCCAAGACGAACCCAAAACGCTCCAACAGGGCTCCCGGAGGGGATCCCGACGGCCCAATGGGGCCAAAGATAGCCCGGGCCCCCAGACTGCCGCAGAACAACCCCAAGAGGCCCCCAGGATTGCCCTGAGGAACCAAGACGGCTCTGGGCCCCAAGACGGTCCAGGAGGCCCCCAAGACGGCCTGAAAGCGGGCCCAGGAGACCCCGAAGAGGGCCCACTAGGGACCCTGCATTAGTACGGCGACGGTCAGAATATCATTATTTTGTAAAAGAATAAATGATTTCTATATCTACATCTATATTTTCACACACACACACACACATATATATACATATATATATATATAATATCTATATATATAGATATATATATATATATATATAAATATATTATATACATATATATATATATATCGCAGACTGTACAGAGGCCCTGCCAGGCAACACTTGGAATTCTTCACGTCTTAACGTGCTCGGGGGTGCTGGTGGACACTCGGCGCTAATGCGGGAGCCTTCTTTTGAAAGCTGTTTCCAGGCGGCGTTCTGGCCAGGACCCCGAGGGTAACCTTGCCGTGGCGGCGCCATACGGTACAGGCCCTGAGAAAGTGAAACCATACGGTACAGGCCCTCGATCCTCGAACTTCCTCCTTCCCCCCGCACCCCTCCCACCAAGAATCCGCATCGGACAGACCGACCCCCTTGCACTCCGGGGGCCCATCCTGGAGGGTTTTCTCTGCAAGATCGCTTCCTGACGGCCCTGGGTCCCGAGGGCCCATGGAGGCCGCAGAGGGCGAGCGACCTCCCCGATCCTCGAGCCTCACCGCCCCCCCCCCCTCTCCTCCTCGAGCATCGCCTGCAACCCGACGCCGGGGCCGCGGCACCCCTGGAGCCCTGGGGCACGAGACGGGGCGCAGGCGCCCAGGGTTCCAGAGGGGTGCGACGCCCAGACCTCGGTCGGCAGAGGGCCACTCTCGAGGCGGATATCCCGCCGTGGCGACGAGAGGCCTTCGGGGGCCCAGGGAGGACGAACATGCGCGCTCGGGAGGGCCGCGGCTGTCTCCCTCGAAGCCTCCCAGATGGTGTCGGAGCAGATGGGCTCGGAGGATCGCGCCGCATCACCGATGCATCGACGGTGCGGCTCGATGCGGAGCTCGATTTGCTTCACGTCGACGTCGCCGATGCATCGCCCACGTCGTCGATGCATCGCCGATGTATCGGTGATGCGGCGCGATCCTCCGACCCCATCTACTCCGACCCCATCCAGGAGGCCTCTACTCCCTCCTCCGCGTCAGGAAGCATCGGTCCCCTCCGTTCCTCTGCACCCGCCGATCTGTGTTGTTTCGATCCGCTCTTTCCCGCTGGGATTTGTTCGAGCCCGGTGCGTTTCTGATGGCCCCAGGGTCCGACAGCAGCCCCTGAGGGCCAACAATTATTTACACGCTCGAGTTGTATTCGTAGGTCGACCCTGCCAGATCAGCAGTACCCCAAAGGCCTTGTGCTTCACCACTCGCGCAGTCTGCATTCCTCTAC